TATTAGTAAAATTGTTTTCGATCTGTGCAAGTGTTTTGTCACCCGTGCAAGTGTTTTCCATCCCAGCAATTGTTTTTTTTTCAAGCAAGTGTTTTCCGTCCGAGCAAGTGCTTTGTGATTTGTGGAAGTGTTTTGTCCCTATGGAAGTGTTTTGTCCCTATGAGTCACCGTATATGAGCCACCGTAGATAGCAGTCAGGGAAAAATCTAGCCATATAAATAAAAGTTGTCTTAAAAAACCTTAAGAGTTATCATCAAGCATAGAAGCCGACAAGCTCTTTGCTCATTAATTGTGTCGAAAAGTTGTACGCGGAAAGAGATATGTGCAGACGTAAAAAACACGTTACGACAGGTTCCATCGCCAAATTTTGCGGACTTCTTTAAGACCAAGGGAAACAGAACAGAAAAAACAAGGAATTTAAAAAATCGACAAAGAAAAAATTATCTCAAGTAGGGAGTCTTCTCGATTATTTGCAATCGTGTGCGTCGGCGCTCTTTGAGACTGTATGGCGTCCATGAAAACATAATTTTATTAACCGTTGAAAAGCATTTTATCGGTAATGTTAAGAGGAGTTGTTATTGGATCGTATAACTTTTCTGGTTGTTTCCATATTCATCGTTTTTCATTTGAAAAGATGCTAATAATTGTCACTGAGGCATTTTTAAAATTTTCGAGAAAATTGAGGGTGGGCCCCTTATTTCGTTTAATTGCATGTGTTTCTCACTTTCGCTTAAATGGTGATAACGAATTATTATGCACGCTGATATTGCTAAGTAAACCGTAAGCTCTTCGTATCAATTACAACTTCAGCCGTAATTAAAAGTTTGATGAAGGCTTACAAAAAAAATACCCGTAATCGACATCCGCTGGCTCTTGCTGTTAATTAAAGATATTTTCATTATCCTGTCACCTAGGATTCCTTACCTCTGAATAAAGAAATTTATGGTTTTACTGAACCTACATCTAAGTAATAATACCGTGAATCAGCGGCCGGACGCAACTAGTTATTCTTTAATTAAGGCACTATCCGATATTTGACTATACCGAGTGGATAATATTTGGTGAAATTAATTAAATACGTATTTATCATACTGGAGAATATTTCGAAATAACAGATAATGGTTATGAAGCTTGAAAAACAAACGTTTCTGCTATGTTATATGTCCATTCACTTAACCTTAAACGTGGACAAAATCCAATGGGGTTTTAAAGTCGTGAACTGAAGCGACTACTGAACCAATGGAAACGATTCGTTTCAGTTGTTTAACCATTCTGTGCTCGTGTATAACAAACGCCACTCGTTGGTGGACCCTCCAACAGAAATTTTGTCACTCGGTAACCTCTTCGGAGTTTCATTATCAGTCCCTGGACTCAATATATTGGAACATGCTTAAAACTTTATTTTCAAAACGAAAAAAAGTAACCCAGGTGAAAAGCATTTATAAATGTTGAGTCCCCAGCATTGACGTGGTGAATGTTTGCAGCTGTGTTCATAACTGTTTTCAATTCATTATTTTATTTCCCAAACATCGGCACGCAAGCGGCATCAAGCTGTTTTCACTTATGGAATATCTTCGAAACAATTAGGGAAATGGTCTCGACAATGCTCAACACTTTATGTTATTTCAAGAGTACTTCATTGCAGTTTTTAATATCTTTCCAGTATTTTCGGTTTTTTAAGCAAACCTGTCAGACAACGTTTATTTTATTTACATAGAAAACGGTCTTGTTAAACCAATCTCCCTTTTTAGCATAAACGAACGACAGGTAACGACATTGCCTTAGTTTTCACTCGAAAACGCTAAAGAGAAGTTAAAGTTAAAAACTATATACTGGGCGAAACTGTGAGGGGTTTGCCACACGTTATCAACTCCGTGGTCTAGCGGTTCCGGTGCAATGGAAGAATGGCTAGTTCGGCTCATTTAGAGAGCGGACTTGCAACTGTTGTTGCTATCGATTGCATTTTATCTGGAATCGTATTTCCATTCGGTTCTCCTTGCACCGGTGAGTATAATGCCATTGTGGTAAATAGCGGAGGACGTTAAGTTTATCGCAGTCTTTATATTTCAGGGAACAGTTGAAGCCCTGTTATCAGGGTTCCATGGGGCGGGGAATGATCAGGATCTTTGCTTTTCAATCATAGTGGAACATCCTCGATCGATATCTCACGGTGGAATCATTTCGATTAAACTGTATTGGCTCTGTACAAAGACATTGCTACTGGTTAGAATCTAGACAAAACTCCATCCAAATTGTATTTTTGCTCTGGGTTGTTCGAGGTGAATCTTTGAGGTCGAGACAAATGTATTTACGCGGAGATCGTATTTTGTCGTCTTATCAGTCATAATGAACCGGCAGGTAATTTCCTACTGCCTGATCGTCGAATGAGACCTGCAATTATCGAATGAGAAGTTGACTATCAAAGAACTTATCTTGAGGAGTACTGAGCAAACCAATTTTAACTATACTGTATTTCGATTGAAAATACGATTCTGAGAATTAATTATAATCGCGCTGCCATCGTTTTCTATTTTTGATTTCCCACAGTCACTTGAAATAAAGTTTGAATTGAATGAAACAGCTGCCCTTGCTACTACTTTCGAGGTTAAAAAAATCTGACTATTCTCACTTTATCGTTCCATTTTATTGTCTCGAAATAACGTTTGTCGGTCAAACACCCTAAAAGCTTTGTGGTCTCAGTGGAGTTCTCCCAAAACGTTTTTTTTTTGTTTAGACCGAAAGTCGAAAGGTAACACATTAAGTTTGAAGCACAGAAACATTGCTATTACTGTACGATTTTCAGCTAGGAAATTTAAAAACTAACGTGGAGTGAAGATGTTCAAAATCGGCATGTAAACAGTTTCCACTGGCTATCTAAATCTACTTCACAAGTGTGTGTATTTTTTTTTTTAAACTAAACATTATATGGTTTAATTTATTTCTAAGGTATTGAACATGGTATGTGTGTGATTTTGCACAGAACATAAAGGGCGTCCGTTACCCTGCGAGCAGTTGGTTTCTCCAGAGAAACCACTGCGTGCAACCGTCTGTTTTTCCATCGAGCATACGCGAGTTCGTCACGCTTCACACGATACATTTGACGTCAGTTCCATTTGCTCGCAAGAAGTGTTTGAATGAAAATTTATCGCCAAAAGCGCCAACGTTCGCCGAAGTATTACCTAGTTTGTGGTCTAAATCTTGTCTAAATTTAAGGCTTTTTTTCCCTCTCGTGCGGGATTGCTGAGCTCGTTGAACACAAAATTATCTCAGCAACAACACGAATTTAACTAGGATATTACGATCGTGGGCCGGTTTGTAAAAGCTGTTTCAAGCCACTAGACGTCATCAAAAGTAAAAACCAGAAGCGCTCTCACAGTCTCAAGGAATCATGAAACGTCTTTCAACACCGCAACCTCGTCCCCAGGGCCTTCGTAATCGCTCGCAGAAGAGTTGGACTTTGATCGCTACATGGTGGGGTCGTTATGTTGGTGAGCGCGTGCACGCGAGCCTATACCTGCTTTTAAACCAGTTTTACCAGTTCAAAGTTAATTTAGTCGGAGCAACTACACAATACAGGGCCACCTTTGAAGGTGCATATATTTAGTGGTTCGTTTGGCTCGTTTGTTTGACTCTGCAGAGGATGAAAGAACGAGGAATAATGTATTTATGCGTTACGTCCTAAGTCTATATATTTAGTGGCTCGTTCGGCTGGGCAGTGGATGACAAAGGAGCAAACTAGCCAGACGAGCCGGCTCGTTCGGGGTGGATGATTAAAAGTGGCCCTGTATTTCTTTAGTTTAGCCATTTATTTGTCCATGGCGCTGGACGACGGTTAACTCCAAAGCTCGCAGTGGTTTCTCTCTCGTCCGGCGTAGGAGAAACCAACTGCTCGCAGGGTAAGCGTACGTACGAGTCATACGCAAATGAGTTTTGTAATCACGAAGACACAACCAACCTCGTCTCTTGGCTCTCTTTTCTCTCTCGGAGGCAGTGGAAAGAGAACCTGGGAACGAGGTTTAGGCACAACATCGGAAATTTTCCTTTGCGTCGTTCACAGATGACGAATACCGTATCATCGAATTCAAGGAACCAATAGAGAACAAGGTAATGAAGGATCACGTGATCAGAAGTGCGGAGGTCATTAGTGAAGGGAGCTGCCGAGTGATGTGTTATATGGAACCCAACTGTGTGTCCATTAATTTCGGACCTTCTCACGGCGGGAAATACAGATGTGAATTGAATAGCGCCACCGATGAAGACCACTTGACCGTCCTCGAGGAAAAGCAAGCTTTTACCTTCCTAGCTATCGAGGTAAATAGTTTCATGCCTGAGTGATATTTTTTTGGCATTCAAAGAAATTGCGGATTACCGCTGCGGAATTTCGTCCAGGGTGAAAGGCTGGAAATCGTGAAGAAGCCAAACATGATAATCAAGTCTTAAATGGCTGGTAGAATATTTGATAAACAGGGAGCGATGGTTACGTGAAGTCGCCCGGACCTTTATTTGTTTCGAAATTAATCATGTTCAGACTTTGACTTACCAATTAGGATTGTTTTACTGTGCTCTTTTAACAGAATCCCTGTAGAGCCAGTCCGTGTTTAAATGGAGGTACTTGTCAAGTTGGATTCACCAGTAAAGGTTTTCGTTGCATCTGTCGCAGTGGATTCCCAGGAACGAACTGTCGTCCAGGTAAATTGCAGTGCGCTTTGTTCTATTCCTGGTCTAACCTGATGTGATACATGTCAAATTTTGTGTTTAAAATCCATATTTCATCCTAATGCAAAGCGAATGGTTAACAGTTATATAATATATGAGTATTCCATTATTTTATTTCAGATATAAAGCTTACGCTAAGATTCAAAGTCTTTAAATGCTACTTACAACTATAATTTCAAGTTGTAAAAGCTGTTTTCATCGGTCTAAAATTATCGTGCCTGCCTTATCAAGGTTTTTCGTGAGTATAAGATATTATCAAAAACTATTACGACCTTTCTGTGGGCTCTTGGTAAAACTAAAATTTCTTTCTCATTGTTAGCAAAGTCTTGCAGCGACTTAAAGAAGCTTGACCCAACAGCTGAAAATGGTACTTACGTCATTGATCCAGATGGTGAAGGAGACATGCTACCATATAACGTCACCTGTGACATGACTGACAAGAATGGAGTTGGCGTGACCGTCATTAGTCACGACAGCGAAAACAGAACGCTGGTGGATGGATGTGAACCTCCAGGTTGTTACGAACGTGACATTAACTACACAGGAGCAAGTCCTCCTCAGCTGGCAAAGCTTGCTAATATTTCCGAACGCTGTGAACAGTTTATCAAGTATGAATGCCTAAACTCTCAACTGTTTAAAAATGAATCGGACAAAGTAATCGGATGGTGGGTATCACGCGATGGCAATTATATGAAGTATTGGGGCGGTGCATCACCTGGTAATGGAGAGCAGATTTGCGCATGCGGGATGAATAATTCGTGCGCAGGCACCGGCCTTGTTTGTAACTGTGATAAGAATGACAATGTGTGGCGAGAAGATAGCGGTTTCCTAACTGACAAGACACATCTTCCAGTTAAACAGCTGAGGTTTGGAGATACTCTTGATACAAACGAGAGCAACGGTGAAGATAAGGAACACGGTTACCATACTCTGGGAAAGTTGAAGTGTTACGATACGATCTGATGGTGACACCATCAGGATTGCCACTCTATTTCTTTTTCAGTGCGTCCACTTTTTAGTGCAGAATGTTAAAGGACTTAAAGAAAGAAGTTCGACGTATCGAGTAATTATACCATGTGATCTCCAAAGACCTTAGAGAGTAAAATAGGTTTCCATGAGTTTTATTTGCTCCTGTTTTAAAATTGACCTTCTTAGCTTGTTTGGATATGCTTTTCTAGGGAAACCTCTCAACAAAAGGCAATAGAAGTGAGAAAGTTTCTAAAATTTATTCTTACATGCGGTACATGATACACCAAATGTCCTGGTTAAGGAGAAAGGGCTTTAAGTATTTTGGGTTAATTTCATGGTAGTGGAGCTTCTCTGAATCAAACGGGTAGCAGTGTGATTTGTTGATAGTTCTGTTTGGTAGTTTGTGAATATTGAAACACCCTAAGGGACTGCAGTCTGATCTAGTATGGTTTTTATGAAACAAATAATGGATTTTGAGTAAAAACTAAACGAAACATAATCAAAAGAAATTTAACATGGTACAGTATAATAGGAAGTGTGATACCAGAAATCGGCCCCTTTCTTTGCTAAGGTGTAGGGACGCAATGCTTTTAGGGTTTTTTAGAGCCCTTGTAGTTGTTATGCAGCATTTATATGAGCAGTGTTCAACCTTTCTTTACCCCGTATAGTAGATTCGCCTAATTGATGTAGGGTGAATCAGACCGAGGCTTATCAAGTACAGTTTTATTTTGAAGGCTGATTTGAAATACTGTAGTTAATTTTACTGGCGAATTGTTTTAAAATTTTCTGAAGGAAGTTCTTGCGACTCGACTAGAAGTAATATTTTGACTCCCGGACTCCCGGCCCCAAATGGCAAATTAACCTCAGACGAATTTATTTCAGTCTTTTGTTCCCCAGGGATTTGATGCTGAACTCTGGAAAAACCCCTTGCAACACAAAGGCTAGAATTTTCTTCTACTTTGAGGCAATCATTTCATCTCTTGTTGGGGCATTCGCACAAAGGAAAATTTTGAGATTTTGGAAAAGACGTCACAAGCGGAACAAGGACCATGGTCTCTCAGGTAGACAGACCCTTATGCCCTTTTGGGATTGAAAGAGTTACTTAAGCGTGTATTAATTTTTTATACACAGCGATCTAGACTAATTTCAGGTGCGTATTACAGCTGGGAAAATTTGTAAATATCCTTTTTTCGTCTTCTCCGGTCGAGAGACTGTCAGGCGTCAGCTTCTAGGCTGGAAAAGAATGGAATGAACTGAGAGACATTTTTTTTCCAGATACGTAGATGTATGCTCTCCGTAACATAGTTGTTCTAGCTTCAGTTAACGACGGCCGGGGTATTTCTGACTGTAGAGAAGGATGTAATACAATCACTGGTGTTCTCAGTACTCATATCCTATAATGCGTATACTAAACTTTTTAGTTTCTTTCCATGTCAGCGACTTTGTCTAGGGCAGTAAAAGGCTGTCATTAATTATTCGCAATAATGATTGTGAAATTTATTGAAGTGTAGGTCCTGATGTAACAGAAATTTCAATACGCATAAATATGCATGGAAATATGAGTAGAAAATTAGATGAGGGCCGTACAGGGAAATATTGACCCGAGGGCGTGGCAAGACGAACCGAGCGCAGCGAGGTCCGTACAAAAACGAGCGAGGACTTATATTCCCCAGCAAGCTACAATAGCTTAGAGAGTAGTTTTTTATTTCCCTGCTTTCGTAGGCAAAAAATGCACGGCTCATGACCGTATGGCAAATCCTGACCGAAAAAGAACCAATCAGAACGCTCGGATTTCCCTCAAGACTACATTGCCATACACTGTATGATAACTGACAGTGTCAAAGAATGTAACTATTTTCTTGTTGGTACGAAATGCACGTGTTCCGCCATGGCATTAATTTAGTCTATTGTTATAAGCATATATACAAGGTTTGACAGTTGTAATGTATGCATCTCAGCTCTCAAACTTTCAAAGTTTATTTCAGCAGCTCACAGTTTGAGCTGCACACCGATCTCTGTTACGGGTCATACGAATATAAATAGCAAAGGATAAAGTACAGATTACATCACTATTGAACTTTACATGTAAATTTTTTTGGTAGTTTGCTGAATATCTTTCGTTAAAATCGTGATTGAAACGAAATCTCTCAAATAGTGAAAAAATGCTAACAGATAAAGTCTGAAGATTTGAAACTGTATTTCTAGATGTATGTATACATGTAATTTACCAGCTTAACCAACAAGATGCAATAAACGAACTTTTATGAATCTGAAATACAACTAATTTAGGAATCGAACCAACAAGGGCCTGAAAATTAACAAACCTTTGTATCTTTTAAAATAAATTCCGTAACATTTTGTCTTGAACATACCCGGGAGAAGATACAATATCAAATACCGATCTGCTCCCAGATTCAGGGAAGAAAAGGCTCAGGACTTGTAGTTGATGTAGTTGAAAAGGAGACAATCCTGGTGAGTGGTTTTCAGTCATAAAACAACACTCAGCCAGACTGATCAATTATTTATTCAAGAAGGGTCCAAGAATCAAAATCCTACTAGTCTAGTAGGGGAGCAGGAATGGTGCAGTGGTGAGAGTGCTCACCTTGCACCAATGTGGCCAGGCTCAATTCTGGTGCCATATGTGGGTTGAGTTTGTTGTTGGTTCCTACCTTGCTCTGGGGGCTTTTGTGCAGGTTCTCCGGTTTTTCTCCCTCCTCAAAACCCAAAATCTCCAAATTCCAATTTGACTCAGATAGAGGACCTGCGTGAAAACCAGCTAAGGCTGATGGGTCCTGATGGGGCTTCCTCTCAAAATATGAATTAATTTATTATTTTGTTTTATGTTTTAAGTCCCTGATGGTTGAGTTTTTTTCAAGACATTCTTGGGGCTCAAATAAAGAAAAGAGGGTAGGCGAGGGCAAGGGAAGTACATTCATAAATCACAAATCTCCTAAGGTATAGAAAAACACATGCAAATGTAATGGGCAGGCAACTTTGAAAGCATATAAAGTTGACCTCAAAATAATATCAATGATTATTGTATTTCTGATTGCATTTGTCTAGGCTTCCCATCTAGGGAAAGGGCAAGAGTAAGCTAGTGAGAATATTTGATGCTGACTTGTTGGAGGGTGGTGATAAGATACTGGAAAAGGAAGGAGAATTAGTTGAGTTTCTATGACTGGCATGTACAATGTACTAATTTAGCTTCAGTAGTTCAAATATGTATTAACTCCAAAACCTACATTATAACACAAACTTTATATTTATTACAAACAATACTACTGTGGTTACCATTACAATATTAGTTACTATGGCAGAGATCATGCCGGGCAACATAAAATTAATTTAATGTCATTGTGTAACAATCAAGCCCCTAAAGTGTTCAACATTTACACACTTGTTAAATGATGTACTATTAAATGATGTACTATTATTTATTTATTATGGTGTAAACAAGTTTGCAACAGACTAAAAATGTGAAAGTCCACGTAAATGTAAACGGTTTTTTACATTGCATTTCTCTCCTATGCCTATCAGTCCATGTTTAAACTTAATAGATATACATGTACTGACTACAAACTGAAGCACTTGGTGTTAAGGTTCATATTTAGTTGTGAGGACTAACAGAAACAAGTCTTGCTCTTCTTTCCAATTCCATCTGTTTAACATGGGTCCACGTCTCTGATGTCAGAGTGTTTTGCCCGTGACTCAGAGACATAAACCGTGACAACAGCAGTAAGAGATGGAAGTCCTCTGCCGTCATGTTGCTACGATCCTGCTGCCTGCTCTTCACAAAGTCGTCCTGAAGAACCTTTTGCATCTCAGGGGTCAGTGAGTACTCTGCCAGTCGTGCCAGACCCAAGAAGGCTCGCATGCGCTCCATGGTAGCTGAAGAAACAGTGCTCAGAACTCTCTCTACAGTCTCAGATGCTTCGTGGGGCCTGAGTACCACATGGCAGTCAGAAGGAAGCAGTGACTTTCCTTCAGAGAGAATCAGGACCAAAAGGTTTGTTGTAAACTCTGTTTTGTAATAATTGAAGTCGTACTCCAGTTTTTGCCAAGAGATGACATTCTCTAGGGCTGTAACATTCTTTACACCATTTCCATTCAGCTGACCAGCTTCTAAAGCTGTCTCATCCACCACTATGTTCGTGCTTTCTGATAACTGGAGCACACTGCTCTTCAGTCGGTTTGCTGTGTCGTCCTTCTTTGGAACAAAGTTCAAGGTGTTCATGTTGTCTAGTGTCATGGACAGGAAGAAACATTTCGGCACCAATTGTTCCACAAGTTTGTGCATCTCTTGGGGGAATGACTCTGATGGTGGACACCCACTGACATTCAACATAAATTTTCCAACAGGCATTATACCAGTCCAGTTGTACACTGAGGAAACCAAGTGAAGAAGTAAATACTCTGCTGCAAGGCGATCACCATACATAACTTGTGTCAACACAGACATCAACTCACCCCTCACCTCGGCCAACTGTTGCATAATGGCAGTTGATGACTCCCCTTTGATGTCACTGGGGACACATGGGTTAGAGTGGGTTAGACAATGAGAAGCCAAGACATGGAGCCGTGGCACAAGTGATGGTGGGGGGTGATGAACAGCTTGCTCTTCTGGAGTGATCAAGTCCTCAGGGCTGGGTCCTAAGGGTTCTTGCACATTATCTACCATATCATGATCGGAGAATACAGCCAGCCCAGGGTCAACAGACAGCACACCAATGAACTCAACCATGTCATTTACCTTGAATGTGCTCTCTTGATCATAGATGTGAATGAGACAAGCTGGACCACATTCATTAGGTAGAGGAAAATTTAGATCAATACCCTGTGGGTGGGATGGAATGTTACTACTGCCTGCTGTTTGAGGGGATCTTGCTCTTTTAGCTTCATCATTACTGTTGCTGTTAGCAACTTGCAAACCTAAAAGAAGTAAGAAACAAAAGAAAAGAATTAAAAAGTATATTGACCAACATGCCAGGATGCATTCAGTGTGGGTTACCCTGAAGATCTTTGGCATGGCCTATAAAATTTGCAGCACACCAGTGTGGGATTGGAGTTCTTGGCATATAGCAGTGTGCACATTTATATTTGCTGGTGCTGGTGTGTTAACGCTTAACTATATAAGGTGACTTGGTGTGATGCCTAATTTCTCTTAAATCCACATTGAATACTGTATCTTGGCCAATAATGGGCATCTTATTTTGAGTACAAAGTTTCCTAGTGAACATAATACAAAGAAAATTGGGATTATTTGAGCAGAGTGGTGTGAGACTTTGGCCGCTTGCCAGGTGCTTGGCAATTTAAAAAGCCTCAGCGTACCTTCAGTCTGGAAGTCTTGCGGAATGCACCCTGAATAACATGGAGCATTTACATACACCAAGCTAGTAATGTCACGCATTTGAGTTGAACACTGTAAATCATACATTCTAAGAAGTTTTTTCTCTAAACCCCTATTCGACCTATTCCATACTTAGGAGTATTTGAAGAGGTTTGCTTGGTCATTCGGACTAATCCTCAGGATACCCCTAGAGGCGGCCCCCTGGGGAGGCCGCTGATTAAAACTTAAGCCTACCGTGTTCAGCGGTTGCTGTTCCCTCGTCCATTTCTTCGTCAAGACTTCTCTTGATTCCTGCGTTTTTCCGCTGGAGTGATTGTGATTGCAAACCGGAAGCCACGTTTCTCCCCGCAAACGTTTTCTTCGCCCATTCAGTCTCACCTGGAATTGGGACGCAGTAAAATGTTTGCCGTTCTTTGGTGACGTTTCTCGGCGACTCCAGACGAAGCTCGAAATTTTCCCCACAGTTCACCATGTCTTGGTACATACCACATCGTAAATTCGACGAATTGTCCGCTTTGTTTACGACTTCATAAGACGCGAGGTAAAACTCTGGGTCGAACATATCCTGCACCATGCACCTGAATCTCACAAGACTCTTCGATTTCAATAGATGACTTGGAACGTCATTCAACGAAGGTACTCTCTCGAGTGCTTCGTTGTTTTGCAGTCGATTCGTGAAGAACTCACGAACTCTTTCATGATCTGGCTTTCTTGCTTCCGTGAATATACCCTCAGCTACGCTTAACGGGTTTGTCAGCCAGTCTTCTACACAAGGCATGGCAGAAAGTATCTTTTAAACCAAGAATGTGTCCGCGGCAAAATTTTCACTCAACCCTCGTGGTAGTTTTCCCGGGAAAATTAGAATTCTGTGCGCATGACATCAAGATGTATACATCAACAAACTCGTACTTGCATGCGGGCTCAAAAAAAGGCCGGGCAGCTCGGCAGGCCATCTTCCGACACTTCGAGGACACTTTGAATGCAATTTCTGCTAATATTTGTCATTTGCTGTGAAAATGTTAGCTGATACTATCCTTATACTATTTATTTCAATGGCTACTGCTCTTCTATCTGAAGGTAAATATCTTTTATTGATAAAAAGCGAAAGTGGGCTTTTATGTACTCAGTTTTCAGGGTATTACTTGATGAGGCATGTCCTTACAGAGTCATGGCCAAAAATTATGATTGTTGAACATATAAAATGTCCACATGAACTGCTTATATGCTGCTAATCTTTTGCCTTAGTCTGTGATAATCCGTCTCATCTGGTCTTCGTGCAAAATAGATTTGAGGGTTATCAATCACAAATATAGTTTATCGGCTCAATTCATCACAGTAATAGGCCATTTCCAAGTTACCTTGTGGCTCTCTGTCAAAACCAGTCTTCGTGCGAAACCATTTATATGAAAATTTGTTCTGCTTTCAGGCTGGTTTTCATGAAAATCAAGCTCATTTTCGTATCAAAGGTTTTGCATAACGTGTTATTTTGAAACAGAGGCACAACGTAACATGGAAATGGCCCATTGAGGAATTAAAAGCGTGAAAATTTAGCATCCTTTATACAGCACTCAGTTTTGATTACTGAAGTTACTTGTACAGTACACGTATGTACAAGTATTATATTTTTACTTCGGTAAGTGTTGCTGTTGTGAATCTTTTTTACAACCAGCTCAATGGCTGGCATGAGAAAACATAATATATACGTAAAGTACATCCATATATAATGACGCAAAAATTCCCTTTGCAAAAGATAAAAAAATTTTGCAGAAATAATTATGCAGTGGAAACAGAAAAAACAATTCTCCTAACAATATTGACAAAAAAATTGCCAAGTGCTTTTGTATTATTTGCTCCATTGCATGAAAATGTGCTGCTTGTGACTTATTCCTCTCAACTGACACAGTTCTTTTCTTCACCTTGGATTTAACACATGTGTGGATAATGGTGCTCTGTTAATATCCCATTTCCCAGTTGAGTAAAAGTACCTGATGATGATGTAGATGGTATTCTGTTAGGAAAGTTCATAAAATACTGGCCATTTACCTTCACTAAACAAGCATCTTGTTAAGGAGAAGTGATAACATTGCAAGTCACTTCAACGTACAGAATTCAAGTTGATATTGTCTGGTGTTTTGGTTCAGTTATTGAGAGTTAAGGATAAGCTTATGTTTTCAGTTACTCACATATATGTAGGTCTGAAATGCATTTGCAAGTACCAGCACTAGACAACTTAAGTTTGACATTGTTATCCTGTTCGTAAACCCAACACCCCTCTTATACTCTTCATGGTCATTTTATATAGCAACCCTTCATTTGTCTTGTTTCAAAGGAATCACCTACTTGCTGGTTTACAGAACAGACAAGTATAAAAAGTTAACTGCAGAGGTTGAGAAGGATAGTAAAAGATGTAAGTTTTAAAATTTCTCTTTATGAAATGTTTCAGACATGTTTGTACATAATTCAATTAGAATAATTAGAGTGCTATGGTATTTATGACTTTAAATCACTACCTTTGAAATGAATGGATGCAGTGCTAGTTTTGCACTTTGTATATATATGGATAGATGCTAGCATGAGTCCTGTGAACCACACTCCTTGGCCAGAAACTGTAAATAAATTGTACTTATAAATTTAATGGAGCAGGTACATGTACAATGGTTAGGAAACACCTTAATCATTTACATGGGTAATGTAGAAAAAAGAGCTGGTTCCTGTTCTCATATAATTTTTCAGCTGTTACAACATAAGTGTTTCAGCATTTTTAATAATTCTGTAGACTCCCAGACAAATTGGCTTCAGTTTCTGTAGAAGGCAAACCAAAAATTATTTTTGCATGGTACAGAATTGTAGAAACATGGCTTTCTACCATATTAGAGTTGACAGTTCTATGGTTTGTGCTGTTTGATGCTGTCAAACCCCACTAGGTAGTGGGGATGTCGCAGTGGTGAGAGGGCTTGCCTCCCACCAATGTAACCCGCGTTAGATTCCGGTCAGGTGCGATAAGTGGGTTGAGTTTGTTGTGGGTTCTGGCCTTTCTCTTAAGGTCTTTGTCTGGGTTCTCTGGTTTTTCTTTCTCCACAAAAACCAACATGTCCAAATTCCAATTTGATCAGGATAGAGGACACACATGAAAACCAGCTAAGGCTGATGTGACTTTCTCTCTAAATATTGTAATTTATTTATTTATTTATGGACACTTGCTATCTAAAATTACTTACATGTATCTTAAATTCATTGCTTAAGGTTGAGACATCTCATAAACAATGACATTACCAAGGTCCTTTGTTGTCTATATGTTATTAAGGGTGTAAGGAATCATTAATAAAGATCTTTAGGGTAAATGAACAAGCCACAAGACTTATCAAGAAAATATTATCATCCTGCAAATAATATACACACAACCACATTCTTCCAAAGTGCAAAAAGAGACAAATCATCTGCAGATCAGTAGAGTAAATTATACATGTATGTATGTTGACGCAAGTGTAATTTATTACAAGTAAAAAGGACCAAGTGCTTATCATTTGCATTTTGTGTTACTTGAAGCATATTTTTTTATTTACAGTGGAGAAGAGGAAAGAAAACATTACAGACCTTCCCAGACAAGGTGGTCAGAAAAAGAAAATGGGTGAGCATTCTTCAGAACGTAATAAGCATTATTGTTCTACTGATAATTTTAGATTTTGACCAATGTTACATATTGTAATTTTAAACTGCACATAGTGATGTATTCACCTTTCTTTTGTTAGAGAGAGTGGAAGAGAAACTTAAAAACCACAACAGAGACCTTTCCATGGTGAGTGACTTTTGTACACTGGATATAAGATGTGTTGACACATTTTTAAGTTTTTGTTTTGGCCGATCGGAATCACCAGCTAAATCTTGCTAGAAGTAGTGTGATCCTGATGTATTTTGTTACTCCGGTCAACATGCAGAGGGGTTTGGGTTTTCTTTAGTCATGTTTTGAATTTATTCTTCACCCATGCACATGTATAATCTTCTGGGCCTGGTTACATGTATTTTCAGGTGGGTTAAATCCTAATCCCAGGTTAAGAAAACTTAACCTCTGGTTAAATTTTATCTCCAGGTTAGTTCTGTTGTGTAAAGGTTAGTTAAAATGGATGGAATTTTGTGGAAGGCAATGTTTTTACAGCCTTTCCTTCCGTTGTCTTTGCTCTACCTTGAAAACCAACCTCGCCATATTGTTTCAAATACTCTTTCAGGTTAAGATGAAATCCATATTTGCCATAGGATTTACCTTCACAGCACTCATTGGCATGTTTAACTCCATGTAAGTAAATCCATGTACTTACAGACTGAAGAATGTCCACTCATCTGTGTTAATTTTTTCAGTTGGCTCACAATTCAGTGAAAGTTATAAATGATGAGCACAAGTTATGCATAACAAACTTAATAAGTTCACTTTATTAAAGGAAAACAGAGGCCCAGGGGTTCCGTTAATGTTTTCATCAGGAGGGTATCTGGTTATCACAGGCGGGCAAAACTATTTGAACTGAGCTTGTTAATTATATAAGAAACACTTTCCTATAGATGGTCAAACCATCTGGGGAAAATCGTCCTTAGAACTGTTCAATTTGCCCGGCGCTTGGCCCTTAATGAAACCCGTGGAGGCCACCATATGAGAAAAAACCTATTCAATCACACGGTTATGAACAAATAAATTGTAAAAGTCTAGGTTCGGCTTTTGAACTTAAAAGTGTCAGTGGTCCCAAAATGTTTGTGTTGTTCAAAAATGTATTTGGAAAACAAGAGTGGAATATACATGTTCATGTATATGACTGCTAATCTACAGGAATTTTAAACTTTGTAGAGTTTTCTGTAATAAAAGATTTATCTAATATTTTTAAGAATCTATATAATTTCCATTCTCCGTTGTGTAGTTGTTGATCATTTGTGCACTGTGTATACATAAAAGTATATGCACCATTAATGATTATTAACAGTATCTCACTGTGTTTTCAGTTTTGATGGCAGGGTAGTTGCTAAGCTACCCTTTGTTCCCCACTCATGGCTTCAAGGATTGTCTCACCGTAATTTAATGGGTACAGACTTTACAGACTGCTCCTTCATCTTCCTGTACATTCTCTGCACCATGTCTGTAAGACAGGTAAAATGTGTTTTTGAATCTCCATTAATTTGTGCTTCTAATGCCACTTGTGAGTAGACCTTTTCTTACATGTAACATTAAATAAGCCATGTCCCTGGAGTTGCAAACATTGAAAAAATACAGTGTTTGGTAAAAAACAAAAAGAGCAAAGTCAGAATATTACTGTAAATTTGATTTAAGATTTTCCAAAAGTGCTTTGCAGTATATTTTGTCTCAACTTGTAGGTTGCACTTGTCACTTGATTTATCATTAAATTTCCAAAAATTATATACAAATCTTTTGATGACCTGTAGTGTTAAGAAATTGGAAAAAAATATTTTGCTACGATTATCAGTTAAGCAAGGCACAGCAAAAGTTTGATCACCAGGTTTCAATGTGAAAATCGTGTTGTTGTTACGGGCAACTGGCTGTGTTTCCAGTGGAAACTTGCAGGCCTTTGAAATCATTGGCAGCAAAGCGTGTGAAATTGTAGGCGATGCAACAGGTTACATGACAGGCGATACACGTCTGTTGATATTGTTATCAATGGAAATGAGGTAAGTTGCCCGTGACAACACCCCAATTTTCCGGTCAAAGTTCGTCGCTAAACTTCCGTCGCGCCTTACTCAACTGATAATGGTAGTAAGTTTAGTCAAGTCAAATCAAGTCAAACTTTATTTAGGCAGGGTGGCAGTTATCAGCCATTGGCTGGTATCAACAGGGGCCCTGTGTAAGTTGATGATCCAGGACTCTGAAAACCACATTTCATTTTCCCAATACATTTATCTGGAAATTTTTCAGCAAATTTTAAATTGGTAGGATTGTATGGACAAATGAGAGGAGAGTTAAAACTGTATGCCTCACATTATTTGTGCACCTTAACAGTCTTCAAATTAGATTCACCAAACAATAATTATTATCCTTTCTGGAAAATTTTGCTATTTAAAGAGATCATGCAAGTTGTATTGAATACGGAGCAAAGACTGATATACCGGTATTTTTGTTGATGGAAGTTAGTTTTGGTGTGTTCTCATTCCATAGAATATTCAGAAGCTTCTAGGATTTGCTCCATCACGGGCAGCAAGCAAAGTTGGTGGTCTTCTAACTCCACCTCAGGGAACCAAGTGAAACTGCTTGTAGTGATCTGCCTCCAAGCTCCTTTTCATGCCACTTTGTAGTAAACTGAAGACAGTTTCTGCATTGCATGATACAGATAAGAACAGAAGTCTGCTCAGCTACATATGATGTCCGTTTCAGTGGCTGCTCCTGATGCACCAAAAAGTAAAGACATTCTCACGAGTGCATATTGATGCACTTGTCCTTCACTAGATCTACCTCTGTTTTTGACATGATGTTTTGTCTACAGTCCTTTCAGTAGAAAAGGTCTAAAAGTCCTGTACTGTTCCATGTTTTTAATAAATGTTGCTTGCTAGACTTGCCACAACTTGACCTTTATTCATTTCCCTCCAGTGAAGTGACAGGGTGATCTTTGAGGGAAGAAGTCGTGAGCACGAGCGACCTGAAACCAACAGGGCAGGAAAGAATTATTGGAAAGGCCTTTTAGAAAGTCTAGTTGCATGCATGCAATTGTCTTTACTGATTGTCATGTCTCTGTTTTTTGTTTGTTCTGAGAAATTATGTGGTAAATTATATTGTACTCACTGAGTGCATTGTTGTACTTCTTGAGTGATATCTGGTCCAGACAATCCCTCTGTTGTGCCGTCCAATAAATGCTAATAATATTGTTGAGTGTTCTGAATTGGAACCAATTTGAAACTAAAAACAAACTGCTTTAATATCAAGAAAATATATTCAAATGACCATGATGGCCATTGGTTACTATTTTCTTTGTTGGACCTTGATGAAATAATAATATTATAATAATTAAATTGAGACGAGAAGGTGTATTGTGCTTAATTTGAGCCAGAAAGCTTGTTGTGTAACATAATGAGAGTATCCCTTATCATTATGGGCAGCCGTTACCACCAAAAATACAAACGATACAAACAGTCTAGAATAAACAGAAATGGTTTAAATGCCCTTTGTTAGTTAGTACAGTTTATATGCTGTAGTTACAATGCAGTTGGACCGGTTGTCTTTGGTGGAATGGGATACTCAACCAGCAAATGGTTTAGACAGTTTAGAAACTGTCTAGCCACTGTTGTCGAAGCGATAAAATGAAGACACAATTTTCGCAACCTTGGGTGTATCAACGGTCCAATTAATTCAAAAAGTATGGCGAAGTAAGAACACCGACAATCACTGAAACAATAGAACGGAACATTACTGAAACATTTCTGTTTGTTCCACAGACTGTTTGTATCGTTTGTATTTTTGGTGGTTACGGCTGCCCATATATCGTGGCCTTTTTCCAGATGGTCAGTGGCCCCTCCTTCCAGGTCCGCCCGCTTGATTTTCTTGAATCGCTAATAAACGTTATCAACACATGTGTAAAACAGATTTTCTTGCATGTGCGCACGTCACGCAATCCTTTTCCCCAAGCTCCATCCGGAGTATGACAAGCAAGTAACATGTGCAAGTCACGTGGGTTACGTGGGTCAGTTTTCTTGGCGGTTCCTCTGCGGTTCCAGAGAATGCGCGGATTTCTGGCGTTCCTCTGACCTGCTATGGAAGAAAGGAGCGAAGAACGGCTCGGGCTGTAGTTTACAACTGATGGTATGATCCTACCCCGACCAGGTTTGAATAATTTACTCTGTAGGTCAGCTGCGGGCAGCTGAGATTCAGCTGTTTGGTTGACAGACCACACACAACACTGCTGATTTCTAGTTTCAGTCTGTAGTTTCAGCTTCAAATATTTCTGCTCTGGAAAGCGAACATTAGTGTACTTCAAGTTAGCAAGAATTGCAGTCGTTTCGCGTGAACTTATAGTCCATTTTCTGGCATTGAATATCAGCGTGAAAGAAAGGGTTTACGGTCACTTCGCTCCATGGTTAGATCGCTCCAACTCGTTCGCTAAACCCGATGTTGGATCGCTCCACAATAGAAGTTACTTTGCTCCACACAAATTTCACTTCGTTGAATACAGAAGTGACAAGTTTCGTTCCATGTAAGAAATTAGTGAAATATTGCCGTGAACTTTTTGTTCTTTGTGGTCGCTGATGTTTTTGATGTTGGACTGATTTTGAAGGAGGCCAGGCTTATGCGAGGGGTGTCAATGGGGTATAGGCGAATCTTTTCTGACGTTATTGTTTACATTTTTCCTCAGTAACATACATGCATAGAAGGCATCATGCTAGACACGATTCTACTAGAAAAACTCAAAGAGCTTGTGAAACTTAGTAAGTGGTGAAATTGTTGGTTCTTTGGGTGTAATATTCGAGGAGAAATTGGCTTTCAAAAACATCAAAATTTCTGTGTGGCAAAAGCGTTAATGAGCTCATACATTTTTTGTAAAATTTTGGGCCGTTAAAACCTCGTCGCGCAAAAAGTATTCAATACATCGTGCTCAAATTCCTTGGGACAGTTAATCGTGCTGTGCCCTTTCAATATTCAGTATTAATCTCGTTGTAGCACCATCAGAAACTGTATCGCTTATGGTAATGAGGCAAATTTTGAAAACAAAGATTCTCCTATAGCCCTAGCCAGTACACAGCTAAAAATAAGCCATTTAGTTAGTAAATTGTTCCAATAGTCAGTAAACAGTAAAAAAGGAATTAGTCTGGTGGTTAATTTGTATGATTTTATGGTTTTTATGAGCTTTGGATGACTTCTGTTTGCAAAATACGTGTAAGTCATGACTTCAGGGGCAAAGTCATCTTTCGAATTATTGAAATGATTTGGAGATGGAATGGCCTCATGGTTAGTTTGTTCGATGCCGGATCAAGCTTAGGCAAGACACTTTTCCTCTCCCAGTGCTAAATGGGTACAAATGGCGAATGGGTGCTGACAAATTTTGTGCTGGGGGTAACCTTGTGACGGATTAACGTCCTGTCTACATGTATTGGAGAGTAACAATACTCCTAGTTGCTTCATGCTACAGAAACGGGGAAAAGCTTCGGCCTGAGGGGCCATTTGGCTCATATGCAGATTCTACCTACCTACCTATTGCACAATTAGTGTTACGCAGTGGACTCCTAGATGTGTATTTTTCAAGACTGTTGTAATATCCTTGATGGTTTAGCCAAAATGGCACACTGAACACTTAGAGTAAGCTAAATTCCTGTGATAATTTGTTGCTGTAGTTGACCTTTCCAGGCAAAAAAATTTCGGCTCAAAGCAATTTTCAGGTTATACGGGCTATGTGGGGATGTGCGTGCCCAAAGGGTATTGTTTTTCAGCCGATTTGGTCATAAAGAATAAAACAGGGTGTTGATTTTGGCCATAAATAGGTCATGGTTTTTTGCACTCTAGTCTTGAATTGGTACATAAGCACTTTTCCTTATGTTCTAACTTCTAGAAAGGCCCAAAATCATGAGATAAGTATATATTTTTCAACAAACTCGACCGTAGCCTTGTGTCAATGCACCTCCATAACCCTGAAACTCAAAATGCTCCGGTTTCCAAATGAAGCATGTTATTGAGCTGTAAAATTGTAAACAGATATGAATATACCCCCTCGTATGCTGATGAGGATAAAAACTTTGGTGGCTCTTTAATTTTGAATTTTAGAAAGTGATGATGTCACGTGAAAACGATCTATAGCTGTAGCTAAATTTTATAACAGCACCTATGAGATTAAAATGAATGACTTAAGTCTTGTTTTTTTATGGATATGGAATTTCCACGGGGTAGGGGAACCCAAGTAGAAAAATCATGGAAATTCCAGCAGAAGGGATGGGGGGAGTACCGTGAAGCACCCTGGAATGGAAAATCCCGTGGATTGGGGGTCAAACTGGGAAAAAAAAACCTCCTTGGGGGTATGGATATTTCCTGGAACCACTCATTGAGTGTTCTAAATGTTTTATTGCATAAGGTTTAATTCAAAAGGAAAAATCAAAGAGAATTAGTTAATCTAAGCTCTGTATTATTAATTAACATTACTTTTGCATATTACATTGATTTAATCATCCTTGTTAAATAAAATAATTTCGGGCTAGCTCCTCAGAGATTTGGGCGAGTAAGATGAAATTACAGCTTGCCCAAAGGGCAAGCAGAGTTTTTGAATTTCATCTTACCCTGATTCTATGCATTGCATTGTTGATCATTGCTTTTATTTTATTTGGTGGCTCCTTTATTTTTGATGTTTTGTTTTGTTGGTCCATTATTGGTTCCCTTGGTCCATTGAGGTAAGAACAGGCTTTCAGCAACCACTTGGCTGATGGTTGGCCTCGTATTCCTCCCATAAGTTAAATGGTTTGGTCTGAAGCTCATGGTACTTGCGTCGCTGGATTCTCTTAAGTTTCTTATCAGAAACAAGGCGGATCTATAGGGCAGCAAGTTTGGCCTTTCTGTGTAGGAGCTGAATCAGGAGGTACAAGGGCAGCTGCTTGGCAGTTGCTTTGTTGAATACGGTCCAGTCTGACGGGCTCCAGGTGGTGCCATGGATCCAGTTGCTGGATACGTACTCTGTGAATGGCTGCATTGTGATGGGAGCTTGGGGCTGGATGGGGTTAAACATTGGTTGGATTTCGTTTTCAGGCAGGAAGGGCAGCGCTAGCATCTTCCTTATGAAGGAGAAGGTCTCTTGATCATGGTTCTAAGCACTCTGTAAACACAATTCCTGTATTTAGGAAAATTAAATGGAATACAATTTTAGCTCTGCAATTTAGATTTTTATCCATTCTCAGTAAAAATGTTTGTTATTTAGAATTGATTTGCTTCTTTACATGTCGTGCTAGTGGGAGGTCTAAGCATGACGACAGTGTTGAAGTATTTCGCGCTCAAATCATCCACATTGGAGCCTCAAGGAAACTGCTCATGCATTTTAGTGTCATGATAGTCTTGATGAAAGGCAAGGATTGCCCGAGTCTGAAAATGGGTTCCTTTCATTGCTAGGAATTTCAGGTACCCCAGATATTGCCTAGCCTCACTGAGACTTGATGAGAGCAATGTTTTCAAGATAGATTTTGATGTTAGCCTGCATAAACTGGTGGAATGTCAGCAGTTAGGGCTTCATTTGCTTCCTGTCTGAGCCATAAATAAGTTCACAACATTAAGGAAGCAACTGCTTACCTCCGGCTATGGCTTTCTCAGAGGCAGACAAAGCGACTTTAGTCTTTTTGACTTTGTGGTTATTTGTTTCAACACCCATGCTAAAATCTGCCTCGATGGTCACAAGTTCCTTTTCCATATTAAGGTTCTGTTGTAGGTATGGCCTTGTCCTGCTCGAAATGAATTCTCCCAGAAGTGGCAGCAGGTTTATCTGTGGCTTGAGTCGTGATTGTATGGCAAGGTAGTGCTCTGTGGCCCACAGAGAGCTCCAAGTCGGTGATATGCTGCATTAGACCAAAGTGAATTTCGACAGAAGTGATATTGTGTTCCTCTAAACCCTGAAGCAAACCATCGGGGAGATTGTTCTCTGCACCTAAAGAGGAAAGCCAGGGGCTTAATCCATTTGCCTTCTTACTTGATTTCTTATTTTAAGCAGGTATAGTGAATAGGGAAAAATGGCTAAATGAAAACTAACTTAAGAAAAACTAAGCTGGACCACTGTCTCACTTGAACTGATGGGCTATCATATAGCCAAGCATTTGTGTTGATGAGTGAGTCAATGATTAACCTACTTCATAAATTAGACAGCTTTTGGTCAAATCCAATACCATACATTTTAATTCTTGAAACACTAGAAATATCATTTCACAGAGAAATCATCATTGTCATCTTTGTTATTTGCTACACCATCAATAATAATAAATAATAATAAATGATAATAATAATATTGGTAGCAAAAGGTGGGGATGAGACCTCTAAAAAACCACCAGGCTTATAGCAGAGGCCACCTCAGTATATCTCAGTTGAGTTCCCTTAGATGAGAATGTTGATACTTTAAATATACATCAACCTTTTAACTGTATTTCGTCAGTTTTAAATGAATTGTATGTCTTTTATACAGATTAAAATGCAACATTATATTTCACCACGCTAAACAGCCAAGTGAGGCTGCCTCAACTGTGGTTTTCTATCTACAGTCTTGTGACATCGCACATATATCTTGGTTGCATCTTGTTTGAATGCAGCTGATACTTATTACACTGACTGTGTGGTTTCTTACTGACTGTGTTAAGTTAAGGCGCCAACCATGCTCTTGTAACCTTTGATTACTGCCAATATAACAATGCTCAGACAAGATGAATGTGTTAACAGAGAGGGACTTCATTTAAATTAACTTTGATGGATTTTTCTGTCCCTTCTGTGAGCATCACAAATTGTCCTGTAGGAGTCTCTCTGCGTAAGGTTTTTGGTTTTTGCAATGACATACTATTTATTGTGTGTAACATGATACCACAGGGTTTAAGTTGTACAAGTTGTCCTTCTATGATGTCTCAGGAAAACTAGAGCCCATTCTTCCTATTGCTTGGTGGTGGCCGCAAAAAGGGCCAAATTTTGCAACTTTCAAAATTCATAGAAAATTAACAAAAATAGCTACAATGATAATTTTTTGGCAGAGGTGATCAGAAAATCGAGGAAATTTTTATATCAGCCAAAATTGGGGGGTTAGTTACTCTTTAATGGTCAGTTTTTCCCCAGCCAGCCCTCATTCATGTACAATCTAAATTCATTAATGAGTGCTAGCTTTCCTGGTAATTTCAGGGCAATAGCTTAAATCCTTAAAGGTGAACATCACTTGTTATGAGAAAGCAGTCTCAAAGTTTATTAGATTGTATATAATTATGATAGTTCTGGAACAAGAACATTAATGGATAGACAACCATCCAAATTTAGTTTCCAGAGGCTTAAGGCAACCAATCAGAATCCTCCAGCCTCGAAAGAGACTCCTTCAAGGTCACGAAGGGCTTCTTCCCTTTGCATGTGAACAAGCTAGAGTCCTTGGCAGGCTTCTTTTCCTGGGCTGCAGCTTGGGTGTCTACTTTGCACATCCACTTTCTGTCCTTTAGCATAAACGCATAGCTTGTGTGTGTACAACTATGAATGGAAAGTTTATCCATGATATAATATGTTCCTTTGATTATACCAAAGGACTTTCTCATTTTGTGATGTTGGCAGATGACTGGAATGAAGAGCTTTCATCACAAATGCTGCAAATGGGAGGAAGATCAAGACTTAAGCTCTGAATGACAGCCTGCATTTTCTTGGAAAATTGGATGTTTGTAGAAGAAACGAGACCAATTATTGTAGCCATGTACCTTTGTAATTTTCTC